TCCGATCCATCGACCAATCGTCGTGTCAGAAAATATACGTGTTAAACTACCTCGTGAAATAGTAGCGTTTACGATGCGCATACTTTGAAATTTCGTCTGAAATAGCAATCGGTATAATCGAGTGCATCTTCTCGAACGACTTTAATTCATTAAGATTCAATTGCTTCCGCTTGATAACGGTTTTAAACAGGACACGCATTCTGCCAGTGTCTCGCAAATGGATTTATCTTCGTAATTAGAGACTAATTGTCTCGTCTCTCTAGCCGAACGCAACCAAACCCGCATAGACGCTACTGGCTCGACTGAAATTCATCTGACCATAATTATCTTACAATTGCCGTACAACTCTCGCACACGTTTCCTCGTAGAGTTTACAACCAAGGTTATCGAGCGGAACACTCTCGTTTTAACCTAGACACTGCAAGCATTTTTCGATCGAGCTTCGTCACTGAACGCGCACAAATTACATACGCCGCGGATCCACGCTCGTTTCCTTTTCCGTTCGTTTCCGTTCACCGTTTCCAATTATTTTCTTCCCGCGTCTTATCGTTTTGCTTCTTTGGTAGCGATCATTTTACGAATGTCGGATACGAATGCGAGGAAAGACCCGTTGTATCTGGAAACATAATCGGACGACGGATGCGTAAAAGTTTTACGCGGGATTCGCAACGACAGACGAAAGATACAAGCTGGAAGAACGCGAAGAACGATGCCTGTTCGAGGTACGACTCACGATTTCGTCGAACGATAAGCGGTAAGAGCTTCTATTGGATATAGTTCAGAAATCATTTACGCTTTCTTCCACGACGCTACCACATCGATTCGATATATATCGACTTTTGCCCAGCGATCTTCGCGATGTCGGGACTGTGATGTCGGGAGACGAAGCATCGAATTTTCGTTCTCGGTTCGAAGATTCGTTTACGAGAAGTCTTTCACGCTAGTCGTTAAAAGCTTACAGGATTATTTTCTCTTCGAATAAATATTAATTCTTCAGCCATGATTAACTCCGAAGCGCAGACCCTCGAGCACTCGAGTTTCCGTATCGACGGGCTTGGCATCGCTAGTTACCTCCTTCGAGCATTATGACACCGCAATTACACGAACAGTAAACTTTGTGCCACAAATTACGACGGTGCAGGTATATACGACACAACTTTGACACCGTAACTGTGTTTCAAAGATAATTACTTGAAACGTTCGTGCCACTTTTCTTTCCAAAGGTTCGTTCCCGCCGAATTAGTCGATTTCGACCTGATCCGTCGGGCAAGGTACAGTGATAATTGCTAATTAATGTTTTGCTCGTGGAACAACTGGTCGAACAACTGGTCGATCGGTTGCGACTTATCGACGTGCTATCGATTCTCTCGTAGTTTAAATGACGTTAAAAGAGAACGCAACGTACGATATGGAATCGAACTGCTGGACGTTTCGCGATGAGACGCCAGAACGAGCTTTACCGGCGAAAAATTGACGCTACCAACGCGAGACCGCGTTTTATTCGACTCTCGTTGTACACTCGCTGTACACTCACCGTATAAAGCACTCGCGAATTACGCTATTTTCCGACACGAGAGTGTCCTATAATTTAATAATCCTGTCCCGATGTCTTTTACGTGACTGAATTTCTATTCCATTCCGTGTTAATTCTCTCGGCAGTGGCGGTAAATTTCCACTGGCCAGCTAATTTCGCGACGAACAGTCCCCCATCCCCGTTGTTTCCTTAATTTAAAAAGGCTAAAACTGATAGCTATCCGCGGTGAGCTATCCGCGCGATCGAGTTTTTAATAAAAGCTCGGTCACGAAAAATGTAGGCTACGCGGGTTCGCGATTCCATCGGTGAAATTTATCTTGAAAATTTTCAACGAGAAACATCGCCGTTGTATTTCGAACATTTATTCCCTAATCCCATCGAACGCTCGCGTTCGAGGTAAAAGCTCGAGCAAAAACATCCAACAGGCTCGACAGCTACCTTTAGACCCGTTGGGCTTTGTCTCCTTCCGCTGCGAGCGCTCGGAAAAAGAGGACGATCCTCTTCTAATCGCACCACGCAAACCGTCCGTCATTTTCATCCTCGGTTGAATTGCGACGGAAAAAACTCGAGGCCGAGGTTCAGGGCTCAAGGAAGGGAAACAAAACCGACCGTAATCCGTAAAATCCCTAGGATCTTTGCCAGCACCGCGTTTTATTAGAACAGTTTACTTACGAATCTCTCACAGAAATCTGACATGCCCAAAATTCGGTCGAAGGATATTTTCGAAATTCTCTATTGATTCCTGACCAGACAACGTCGAATTACCCTCGCGAACAAAGCTTGTACTTGTACGGAATATAGGCTAACCCGCGATCGTGGCGAAACGAACGTTTACTCGACATTTTCTCGTTAAACGAAAGAAAAAGGGCGCAAACGAATCGCGTATTCGTGCTCCGCGCAACGATGCGTGATCGATCGTCGGAATATAAGATATCGGTCCGGATAGCATCGAGTTGAAATGCGCAATAGGTCAGCTTCCGTACGAATATCGTATCGCTGGAGCCATCAATTTCTTGGGCTATACGAACCCATTTCCTTCGATCGTATTGGACGGAAAAATAGGAAACGGGTGGGTACAATTCGGAGTGTTAACTAATCACCTCGAAGAAAGAAGACTTCCTCGTTGGAACGGTGAAACGCGGGAGAAAACGAGCAAAGGGCTGAAAAAATGCAAGGGTTCGAGGAATATACAGAGTTGGAGGAAAGCCGAGTAGGGGAACGCTATTGGCCGTAATTCGATAAACAATTCGAAGCACGCTAATCGACGATAATTTATAGAACGACGAAACGACGGAAAGTTCGTAAACGAAACTCTGATGCACGGCAGGCCGTTGGCAGGCCGCTGGCAAAAAGGGTAAAGCACGCGAAGAGACGAGGGGAAACTTGAAAATAAACGCAAACCGAGTATACGTGACTGTAAAGGGACAAAGCTAGGCACAACGCGACTGTCTCTTCGTTGACGCCGCACTTTCGCTCGTATCGGCTAGCTAGAATGCGATAGTGCGAACCCGTTGGAAGAAGAACAGTCAGGGAAAGCTCGAAGGAAGTGGATATTTCGCCTGGAGAAAATTTGAATAAAACCAGCGGAGTAGTAGTTTCCTTTACGTTCTTTCTCTCTCCTTCGTACAGCCTTCCACTACCAACTTCCTGTCACCCTTTCAACCCCTGGCACTTGCTAAAGAAATGCAAGTTTAGCGCTGGAAACTCGTAAAAAGCCCTGGCCTGCCCAAGCCAACGCTGCCCCCTCGTTGTCCCGACATCTGCGGTCCGAATACCGATTCTCCTTCCTCTCTTTCTTCGGAATTCAACTATTCACCCTGCCAGACTTTTCTCCTTTGCCTCGTTCATTCGCGTTACGACGATGTTTTAACGTTCGTCGTTGTCCGCGTTCGACTCCAGGTATATCAAATTCCTCGATTCGATCCAAGATTCTTCGTTGCTCCGAGTTCTAGCCGATGTCGCGGTTAAAAAGCGCAGCCGCGAGGTCTTAATCGCGAACCGACGCGTACGCTAACGCGAGAATACGACTGCGACTATTAAGTTGATAAAATTCCGCGGTACGAGCTCGAGAAGGAAAGAGTTTTCTCGTATTTTCTATTTTCCTCGGGAAACCAGAGTCGTAAAGGGCAAAGAAGATCCGTGCGTAGCAAACATTCTCGTCGACTTCTCGAGTGCAGTTCCCATAGTCCCTACTGCTGGGGACATTTTCGTAAAGTCAGTTATCGTTTTTCCGAAATAGCTTCGCCTCGTTTACCCGATATCCGACGGAGTAGAATATTCTGTTCGCTCTCATCGTCATAGGTGGACTTACCCGAGCATTTCCAATTTACACTTTTTTATTACTCTTGCTACTACTTGCAGTCAAAAATGTCACCTCGTTCTATTCGCGAGTAAAGACTCGAAGGTTTTCGACTCGTGACACGAAGAAGAGATGTTGGCAATAAGCGAAGAGAACGGCATCGATTAGCCTTCGAGTTAACCATTACGCCTTAACGAGCTCGTTCCGTTGCGAGTTTCAACCGTCGATCTTCCGGCTAATTTCGTACGAGATAATTTCAACCGAGTCAGCCAGAGACTTTTGACCGTGCTCCGCTTGCGGAAACCTGTCAGAACTACGGAATAGAATGACTGTGCGCGTCACGGTTCCCAACAGGCGCGTGTGACTATCATTTTCTCCGGAGGATTCCTTGTCCGTCCAATATCCGAGTGGAATATTCCATTTCCTTGGGTTTTGCACTTCCGCTCTCGATTCAGCTGGCCCATCGTTTAAGTCACCCTCCCGATAGCCACGTATACGAGATCGTATCCCACACGCGGTCCGAATCATCTCCCGAGCTGTCCTCCGCACTCGCCATCCGGAACAAGGAACGTACGAAAAAATTGCCGCATTCTTCCACGGATTTCGCTATTCGGCCAAATGGGCCTTGCCAGAACGACCTTTGAAATAGGAAGCTACTTTTATCGGAACCTTCTGCCTCTCTGCAAATCTCCGCGTTCGTTTACTCTCGAGCGCGATAGCCGAGTGTATTCTCGGTGAGCCAAGCACTTCGGATCCAAGTCGAGGCATTTGCGAAACATCCTTGTTTCTTTTAATCGAAATCACGCGAATGTAGGACAATATTTACGAACGCGAACGCGAACATCATCCGACCATGTAACGCGATCGACTAATTAAAATGAAATAGAACGTTGGACAGTAGAGCGGTAGTCTGAGCAAAAGATCCCCGTTCTCTCGTGCGTTCTCTTTATGTCCATTCGCTCTAGACAAGGATCGATTAAATGAAACAACGCGGTGCACAGGCAGAGACAGCGGAGAGGCAATCTCCTCGTCGCCGTCGTTGCCGTCGTCGTACATTTCCTTCGAATAAATGCCGAGCGAAAATTGAAATATCTGGTATTATACTTGCAAACGGTTAGTCGATTCGATGGATTCATCGCGGGTGGAATAGAATCGATAGCCGAATCGACGTTTCCCCTCGAATTCGTTCATCACGATCGTGAGATTCGTTCCTCTTATCTCGCACGAACTCGTTAATAAAGTCGAGCCCGTACAAACAATATTAAAGCAAAAGGATCCATAGGGACGTATCAACCCCTCCGATCTGACGGCGTTGCCATTCCGAGGGGTTGCACGTTTCGAGAGGGTCAGCTGTTACGCGTACGCAAAGTTACACTTAGCCCGTTTTAACTCCGACCGAGAGAGATCGGTATCTCGGCCAGTTATTATCACGAATAGCATCTGCAACGGGAATCGGTGCTTCGATGGCCGGTCAGCTCATAGCCGAAGCGCGATAGCGGAACGAAGCAACGATAACGGGTACATCGGTCTCAGGTAAAAAGATTTCATTTAAAGATAACGACTATTGGTCCGATATGCCTTACCAACCGGAAAGCCTGCAACTTCCAACAACCAACGCGTCTCTCCAAGTTACCCGAATTTTTCAACGGCAAGACGTTGGCATACAACGGGAAATTCTCTTATTCGCTGAAAGTACGGCTTTTCGAACCGAGATTCGCCGGGCGTGAATCAATCGAGACTCCGTCGATCTCGACCCTTAAAACCGAAGCAACGCGTCGCGCGGAGCCCACCGTTACGTAAAATCGGAAGA